TGCAGAGTCTTATCCACTGCGCCACCAGGGAAATCCTGGGAGGTGATATTTATTAGTAGACACTTAATCAGCTCAGTGTTCTTGTGAGGTCCAGTGGACAGCTGAGATCTGACCCGAACCACGGCCAAGGTTAAGGACAGAACTGAAAGTGTTTTGCTTCACTTTGCTTTGGGGGTTCGAATGTGTTTCCCCTCTCTGAAATGCCAAAGTAACATACACCAATTGAAAAAGAATCAACAGAGGCTGACAAAAAATGGACATGAAGTGACCCCCATGCTCTCGCCCTCAGAACAGCACAGTGGACAGCATGGGGTCTGGCCTCTAGACTAAGCCGCTTACACCAGGTGCCGCTCGCAGGCCCCCAGCAGGCCTCATCCCCTCACTCGCCACAGAGCAGGCCTCTCAGTGCCTCAGACTCACCAGGTTCTTTCTCACCTCAGGTGTATACACATGCTACCACCTCTGCAGGCAGTCTTTGCATTTCTGTGTGTTTTTGACTGTGAGTGAACTTGTATAGCTCCCTGACCCACACATCCCTCCCTGGAGACAGCCGTGGCTCCCGATGCCTCTGTGTCCTTCCAGGATGGTTTTATACATTTGCAAGCAAATGTGTATGCCTGGTCCCCTTCCCCTTCTTAGTTTGCACAAATGCTATCGCACGACATATACTGTCCTCCACCTTTTCTCACCTAAGAGCGTCCTGGAGATTAGTCTTCCTCATATTCAGAGGGTGCCTCGTTCATCCTTGTGGCTGAATGCTATTCCATTGCATGGGTGGCCACAGCTTATCTAACCAGTTTCCTGTGGTGGGCATATATATTGTTTCCAGTCTCTTGTCAGATTCACGGCAAAGAATGACCTTGGGTCTGTGTTGTTTCACGTGTGTTGCGTGTGTGGGGGGGTAAGCCCCAAGGTGGAGTGGCTGGTGTGCAGGGAATGTGCATTTCTAAATGTGGATAGATTTTTGCCTAATCACCCTCCATGTAGTTTCTACCCATTTATACTCCTGCTGGTGATACTGGGGAGTCGGGCAAGCTGCTTGTAACTGTCTGGCCTTTGGGTCGTTCTGCTGAGGAGCAGTTTTCCCCTACTGTCCCCAGTTCCCATGGGAACATGGTCTTAGCAAACGCTGATGGCATCACCACTGTGCATTCGGTGGCCAGTGCTGTACGAGGAGTGACAGACACCACGGATTTAAGATTCCAGCCTCCTCTCCAGAAAGCTGGAAGTTCCAGCACCTCCCACCCCCATCCCTGGGCTCAGCCCTGCCCAGCTCTGGCCTGGTCTGAATTGGGGGGAGCCTCTGTGTCTCCCAGCAGAGTCACTCCCAGGTCCCCTGGGTTCCAGAGCCCCTGCCTGAGAACATGGCTGGGTCCTCCAGAGGGGGCCGCCCCTGGGGATCCACGCATTCCAGAGGCGCGAGGTGTGTGCCGCTGACGAGCCAGGCCTCAGTTCTGCCGTGGTTTCCCCTCCTGAGGGCTGGGCCGGGCAGAGAGTGGAGATGGGAGCACAGCCCAGGTGGGCGATGCTTTGGACTTTAGAATAAAAGGTCAGCTGCCCCCCTCCAAGGGGCCCAGGGCCACTTCTGCAGGTGATGTTCATGTCAGGAGCACAGGGGTGATGGGTGGAGCATGACTGGGGTCTGGCCCACTTTTAGCCCTGGGAGCCGAGAGGCCTGGGGGTGGCTCGGTCTAGCACAGCATCCCTGCTTGACATGCCTCCCAGGGACCCAGATTTTAGGGCCATAGCCGGGGGTCTGTTCATGCAGAGTGCTGAAGCTGCCACCCTCTCTTCACAGAGCCTGACGGGTCACACGTCCCCAGTGGAGAGCGTACGTCTCAACACCCCTGAGGAGCTCATTGTGGCCGGTTCCCAGTCGGGCTCCATCCGCGTCTGGGACCTGGAAGCTGCCAAAAGTAGGTGTCCGCACTTGCCTTCCCCCCCCCCACACCTGCAGTCGTGCTTGTCCTCAGCTTTGCTGTCCAGCCGCTTCCTCCAGGAAGCCTGTCCTGACTAGGTTTGGTGCTTTTCTCCTGGGGGCTCTGACCAGACAGTGTGGCGACTCCCCACCCCTGTTGACCTGGCAGCAGTGACGTGCATTGCTTTCTGAGTGCTGCCACTGAGGGGGCGTTCTGTAAATGTCTGAATGATGGACAGATGTGTGCATGGGTGGGTGGGTGTCTGTGGATTCAGAACCTGGAATGACATCAAGTGCCACCAGGGACCGCGCAGGACTCGTAAATGAGTGAAGGGGCTGTGTGCGGAGAACCGGGGTGTGTGCCCCACTCCCGGGGGTCCCCACTCAGCTCCAGCTAACTGTTGCCTGCAGGAATGGGGCCTGGGCGGCCAGACTTTCTGTTTCCTTGTGCTTTGTTTGTTTTAATTTAGTTTTAATCTTTATAGAAGTTATGCATAGTCTAAAAAGACAAATGCTGGTAGTTCACAAATGGTCACAATGGAAAGAGGAAGCCTTGCCTCACTCCAGGGGCCTCAGCCTTCTGTCCTTGCACCTGGTGAGTGCTAATTGCCTCCGCTTTTCCAAGCAATGTGGATATACTGCAGTTTCTTTTCTTTTTAAAAACACTTCATACATTAGCTGTGCCATCCTCCTACAGAAAAGGGGAATTGAGCTCTCAGTGCTACCCCAGCTCTGTCACTCACAACATTTCCCCCCCATCCTCCCTGAATCACCTTTTAAATACTCAGTGTTTATATTATCAGGACCTATAGATATTATTCAGAGCTGCTTGTATTTCTTTTCTTTTGATAATTTTGTTTCCCTGGAATTAATAGTTGTTCTATCTTTTTTTCATCTGCATGTTTTCTGTGTCTTTGTTACTAATCCAGCCCCAACTTATCTGCCAGAAGAGTAAGCCTCCTCCTTGAGTTTACCCCCAAACCCATCCCATCATTGAGGTGTCTCTTCCCAGAGCCTCTGTCCCCAGGTCCTAGTGGCCTGGGAGCTCCCAGGCCTGCAGCCCAGCTGCCATCCTGGGGCCCTTGTCTCCTCCCCGGGGAACTCTCTCCGACTCTGCCACACCGGATCCCACGTTGTCACTTTTCTTGGTTCCCCCACTCTTTTAGGTGCGGCACATTCTTTCATAGCTTACTGTGAAAGGGTACACTGCAAGCACAGTTTTAGAGGCTGAAAATGACTTTATTCTTTTCTTTTTTATAAATTTATTTATTTTATTTTTGGCTGCGTTGGATCTTCCTTGCTGCGTGTGGGCTTTCTCTAGTTGCGGCGAGCAAGGGCTACTCTTCGTTGCAGTGCGCAGGCTTCTCCTTGCGGTGGCTTCTCTTGTTGCAGAGCACAGGCTCTAGGCACGTGGACTTCAGTGGCTGTAGTGCATGGGCTTCAGTAGTTGTGGCATGTGGGCTCAGTAGTTGTGGCTCACGGGCTCTAGAGCGCAGGCTTAGTAGTTGTGACGCACGGGCTTAGTTGCTCCGTGGCATGTGGGATGTTCCCGGACCAGGGCTCAAACCCATGTCCCCTGCATTGGCAGATGAATTCTTAACCACTGACCCACCAGGGAAGTCCCTGAAAATTACTTTATTCTAAAACCACCCCCCTTTTATTTCTAAGAGTTGGAGTATAGAATTCTAGGTTGGGAATACTTTTCCCTCCGAATTGTGAAGGTGCAGCTCCGTTGCCTTTTAGGTTCCAGGGTTGCTGTGGGGAGGTCAGTGCTGTCTCATCCCAGATCCCTCTCATGGGACCTGCTTCTTTCCTCCTTCTGCCTCTCTCTCTTCACAGGTTTGTAGGATCTTCGTCCCAGTGTCCTCAGGTTTCATAGACTAGGCCTTGGTGGGCCTATTCTCATCCCTATGCTGGATCCTCACTGGGATCTTTTGGTCTATAAACTCATGCCCTCAGTTCTGGGCCAACTGGGGAGTCCTGCCTTCCCTGGAAGGGGGGCTGCCTCTCAGCCTTGCTGGCTGTTGCCACACAGCAGTCTGGGCACAGTGTTGCCAGCTGTACAGATTTTTCAAGTGAAGCTGGGAATCTGGACATTTATGTGGAATCCACCCATTTCTGAAGGTTGACAGCTAATTCAACATATTTTTCAAGGGCTTCCCTGGTGGCACAGTGGTTAAGAATCCGCCTGCCAGTGCAGCGGACACAAGTTCGAGCCCTGGTCCGGGAAGATCCCACATGCCGCAGAGCAACTAAGCCCGTGCACCACAACTACTGAGCCTGCGCTCTAGAGCCTGCGAGCCACAACTACTGAACCCGTGTGCCACAACTACTGAAGCCCGTGCGCCACAACTACTGAAGCCTGCACACTAGAGCCCGTGCTCCGCAACAAGAGAAGCCACCGCAAGGAGAAGCTCACACACCGCAACAGAGCAGCCCCTGCTCGCCACAACTAGAGAAAGCCTGCATGCAGCAGCAAAGGCCCAACACAGCCAAAAATAGATAACTTAATAAGTCAATTAATTTTAAAAAAACCCATATTTTTCAGAACACTCTGCAGGCTGACACTCAGAGGTCCAAGTAAAACCTGTTTGCTCCCTGCTTTTTGCCAACCTCTAGTCTGGACCTTCCAGCATGCCAGGCGGGAGGCCATCCCCTACCTGAAGGACAGGAGAGGAAAGGGTGACATGGATTTTGCCAAGTCTGCCTCTTCCAGAAGAGATGCCCCCCTTGCCTGGCTGAGACTTGAAGGTCATTCCAGGCCTCTACTCTGGTGCTTGCTCTACCTCTGCTGCAGGACGGCGGCCACTGGCCATGCATGCCTGGTGGCTGGGTTCATTCTGCTCTTGTATAGGTGATCCTCAAGAAATGACCTCAACCTGAGCCTCTTGGGTGGTGCTGGCCCACCCAGTGACAGGCTGTTTAAGAAAGACAGAACCCCGGGACTTCCCTGCTGGTCAGTGGTTAAGAATCCGCCTTCCAATGCAGGGGACACGGAATCAATCTCTGGTTGGTTGGGTAACTAAGCCTGCGCGCCGCAACTTCTGAGCCTGCGCACTCTGGAGCCCACGTGCCACAGCTAGAGAGCCTGTGTGCGGCAACTAAGACCTGATGCAGCCATAAATAAATAAACAGACAGAGCCCCAGGCCCTCTGAGATAATAAACAGGGGCTGAGTGCTTAGCATCTCAGCATGCGGTCCCACTGCCTGGCCACACACAGGACCCACAGTGCGGGGGCATCGCTGGACAAGGGGCCAGGGAGGAGCAAGCCTGGGCTGGCTGGGCTCCAGCTGAGAAAGCAGAAAGGCTCGGGCAGAAGGCAGTTCATTTCCTGGGAAGCCTCTGCCTGGACCCAGATCCCAGTGGAGGGCACCAGCCATTCACCATTCACTGAGGAGCAAAGGAAAAAGAGAAGCCAAGGGCCGTGATTTCTCAGCCATGACTTTCATGCATAAGGGAATGTGAGGAATTTCTTGAGGTGGGCAAAGAACGGAAACTGAAGACCTCTGGAATTCCTGAGCCCTGGACTCCCAGAGCTGGCTGCTCTACAAGGAGCTTGTTACACAGCCCAGACCCCACTCCCGGAGAGCCTGACTCAGTAGTGGGATGGGCCCAGACTCTGGCTTTCTTAAGCTTCTAGGTGGTTCTGATGCAAAGCCAGGTTGGCACTGTCTCCTTATATGACAGATGGACAAACTGAGGCTCAGGGAGGGCCCTGAACTTGATAAAGCCTCTGTGGCTGGGGGTGGCGGAATCTGGGACTCAAATCCTGGTGTCAAGACTCCCATCCCAGTGTTGTCCGCCCTGCCATTTGCGGGGGGTTCAGCGATGGAAGAGAAACTTGCCCGTAGCATCCTCGGCAGGAAGAGCTAAGACCTCAGGCCCACCTCCACCCCCAACCCACCACAATGTGAATGGAAATGATACAGAGGCAAACTGGCACCCCACATGCAGGAAGGGGTTCTTAAAGGGCTGCCTTACTGTCACATCAGTTGCCCATCACTGGAGGGTTCAGCTACTCGGCTGGAAGGGTTTAGAGATTCCCGTGTGGGGCAGACAGACCCCGGAGACCCCTCTACTCTGCAGCTCCTGGATCCTGCGACCAAGTCCGGCCTCAGGAGGCCTGCCGAGAGCCCTCCTGGGACAGAAGACCAAGGGCAGAAATCACGCCGGAAGAATGTGTTCCTGCCTGCTTTCCACAGAGCAGCCAGAGGGCGAGGGTGGCTCAGCTCAGGATCCACAGGAAGGCATATGCTTCATGAACGTGAACCTGCCACATCCTCTCAGGGCGGGCCAGGATTTTGGAAGCCTGGCTTGTGGGATGCAAAGCAGGTAGGCTGGCGGGGGTGGTGTGGACTGGGGCAGGAGCCAGACGAGTCTCCTCCCTCCAGGACCTGGACTGGGCAGCATGTGCCCGAAGTCCCCTTGGCCAGCCAGGCAATGCTGAGCCCCCGAGACAACTACAGAGAGTGAGGAGGGCAGCTGCTCAGGTTTTGGTGCGGTTGCATCTTGTCCTTAAAGCATTACATCTGGGGTCTGCTTGAACACCTCCTCCAACAGACAGCTCACCACCTCACAAGCCAGCCTGTTTCACCTTGGCGCAAACCTGAGGGTGGCTGGACTGCCACACCCCTTGGCACCAGCACTCCTGGGGTGGACGGTTTCATTCAAACAGCGGAATTATAAATCTTATAAAAAGCAAGACACATGACGCCAGAGAGAAGAGGCAAACTTGAGTGGTACCGGAGAACACGCTGAGACAGAAACGCAAGGTTTGCCTGCAGCCTCCCTCATCTGCCACCCACTAACATCCTGTTCAACGACCACCGCCTCCAAAAAGCCCCCCTGGATTTCTCTTTTCAACCTAGCAGCTTCTCCCCCAGCTTGGACCTCTCCTGCATCTCTGTCCTTGCACTGTCTCGGCTGTGGTGGGATGCCTGGCAGACCATAAGCTCCACGTCCACATCCACAGGGCCTGAACCAAGTACAGTAGTTACCTGGCTCTGCTGACTCTGGGGCTTCACTCTCATGAGAGCATGCTGGGACAAGCCCAGAGGTGCAAGCTGCGGGGAGCTTGCAGGGAGTTTTCTGAGGGCTCGGGTAATGGCAGAAATGGCTGGCATCTCTTGAGAGGAAAATAGGAAAGTTAGTTGTTAGGGTGGTAGGACTCTGGTTGATTTTTCTCCTTGTTTTGAAAGTCTGTGATACTGTTGTGTTTTTCTGTGCAGTCAGTATGAAAGCACACACACAAACGAACATAACAGCCCTCGCTCCACCAGCCATCCTGTTTGCCTCTCACGCCATTGTCTCTGCTCTCTTCCTTGTTAGTCCTTCGCACACTTATGGGACACAAAGCCAACATCTGCAGCCTGGATTTCCACCCGTATGGCGAGTTTGTGGCCTCGGGTTCCCAGGACACGAACATCAAGGTGAGCCACCACTCTGCACCCTGGCTCTCCCACCGGGCCAAGCAGCGGGACTGGGACGGTGTGTCCCGTCTCGGGTGGGGGGGTGGGCTAGGGCTTTTCGGGGGACATCTTCCCCCTGTGTGGCAGCATCCGTGCCCTCCCGGGGCAGCGATGTGGAAGCGTTTGCCAGACATTTCTGCTCGGGATGCCCAGCTTTAGTGAGCGGTTTCCAGACCCCTGTCACTTGGAGGTGTAATGACCTGGAGGTGCCCAGAGCCCCTCTCTGCTCATGGCCACATGTTGCCCTCCGACCCAGGCTCCAGGACTTAGCTTGGCTAGCCCTCCCCAGCCCAGCCCACCTTAGTTGTGACCTGTCCTGACCCTGCCCCCCTCTGCTCCTCTGCTCACAGCTCTGGGACATCAGGAGGAAAGGCTGTGTGTTCCGATACAGGGTAAGCAAGGCACCCTCTGTCCGTCATTCCACAAGCACCTTGCAGGCGCGGAGCATGGGGTGGTGCCCAGACCCTGGCAGGGGCTGGAGGGAACTGTTGTCCAACCTGGGTGAGAACGTGAGAAACAAGAGTCCAGATGAGAAACATGCATCTGGAGCAGAGCAGGAGTGCGGTGGGTGGTCTACCTGGACCCCCGGCTTTCTGTGACTCCCCGCAGAGCTGTGTTTACCAAACTGTGCTCCACGGTTTGCAGGCCGCTAACAGGAGTCATTAAGTGAAGGGGGTTCCTGTTCATATGAGTTTGGAAGGACTGGGTTTAATAATTATTTTGGGGGGTTTCTAGACCCTTTGACATTAAGAGGAGGCATTTAACTCTCCAAAAAGAGACACAAGACACATTGCTTCCCAAACTATCAGACCACGCAGTGTTATTTCCTGGAGCGTCCTGCAGGACTGGGGGTCCGTGACCGCATGTGGAGAAGTGTCCCTCTGTGACATCTCCCACATGTGGCTGTCAGTCCCCTCCTTGCTTGCTCCCAGGAAGCACTGCTTATGGAGGGCAGGGAGGAGTGGGTGGTGGGGAGAGAAGTCCGCTGGGCCCAGGCCCCTCGGGTGCTCACGCTCTGTCCTCCCCTCAGGGGCACAGCCAGGCCGTGCGGTGTCTCCGGTTCAGCCCCGACGGGAAGTGGCTGGCATCGGCCGCAGATGACCACACGGTGAAGGTAGCTCCCGGCCTGACCCGGGCCCAGGGCTGGGGACTGGGGTCTGCTGATCACACTCAGGTTGGGTCCTCACCTCCCTCCTGATCAGGCTCGCACATCCCGAGTCTGTCCAGAGTGGGAGGTGGTTCGTGGATAAAGAGCTCGGGCTGGATTGGAGGGCGAGCGGGCAGCTGAGGGCCAGGCTGGCCCTGACCTCCACCCTGGCCTGCCCCAGCTCTGGGATCTGACTGCTGGCAAGATGATGTCCGAGTTCCCCGGCCACACAGGCCCTGTCAACGTGGTGGAGTTTCACCCCAACGAGTACCTCCTGGCTTCTGGCAGCTCTGACAGGTGAGGAGGAGCAGGGCTCGTCGCCCGTGACTGCTGTCCCTCACGTCCCTGTCCTCTGGCATATGTCTGTCCCCAGTCTGGTTTTGTGTCCCAGGGTGTCATATGATCCCAGGTAGGCTGAATTAACTGTCAGCCAAGCTGGGATGGGACCCGGGTCACATCTCTCTCCCAACCGTGGCCCCAGTGTCCTGGGACTTCATGGTATGTCTGGATCCGGCCCCAGTGTCCTGGGACTTCATGGTATGTCTGGATCCGGCCCCAGTGTCCTGGGACTTGACTGTGTGTCTGAGTCCAAGGCTCATATTCACCTCCCAGGTGCCGAGTCCCCTCCCGCTGCCTGTGCAGGGCCAGCCTATGGCCCCAGGCATTGCTCTGAATGGCCGTGACCTGGGGCGGCAGGTGTCTGGAGAGAAGTGGGCTCCCCCGGCCACTGGCCTGTGTGGAGGCCAACATGTGGCACTGGCTTCCCAGCACAGCCTGACTTCCTTTGCAGGACCATCCGTTTCTGGGATCTGGAGAAATTCCAGGTGGTGAGCTGTATCGAAGGGGAGCCAGGGCCTGTCAGGTAGGTGGGCGGCTGGGCAGTGGGCCAGGGCCCTCCTCCCGGGCAGTGGGGTGTGGCTGCAGGTGGACCTTTCCCATCTCCGCTTCCGCTCCCTCCCGTCCTGGGCTCCCCGCAGCCTCTCCGGTGTCTCCTGACCCACGGCCCACTCTCGCCTGGCCCAGGAGCGTCCTCTTCAACCCCGATGGCTGCTGCCTGTATAGTGGCTGCCAGGACTCACTGCGCGTCTACGGCTGGGAGCCCGAGCGCTGCTTTGACGTGGTCCTCGTCAACTGGGGCAAGGTGGCCGACCTGGCCATCTGCAATGACCAGCTGGTGAGAGAGCCACCGCCCACCGTGCACCCTTCTGCTGGGCCGCTCGCCTGCCTCCCCCTCAGGCCCCCAACTCCCACCCAGCCCCGGGGAGTCCTGCCCACCCCCCACCCCATCCCCCGGTCCCCCAGCACCACCGCGAAGGGTCCCGCCCCAGCTCTGCCGCTTCCCGCAGATAGGCGTGGCCTTCTCCCAGAGCAGCGTCTCCTCTTACGTGGTGGACCTGACGCGGGTCACCAGGACGGGCACGGTAGCCCCGGACCCCATGCAGGACAGCCAGCCCCCGGCACAGCAGCCGCCACACCCCAGCGCCCCGCTTCGGCGCATCTACGAGCGGCCCGGCGCCACCGGCAGCGAGCCTCAGAGGTGGGGTGCTCGGGGCCCCGGAGGGCGCTGGGGGGCACAGGAGGCGGGCCCGCAGCCCCTGCCTCACCGGGGCCCCCGCCTCCTTTCTGCCCGGCCTGCTCCCCAGGGTGAAGCAGAACTCAGAGAGCGAGCGCCGCAGCCCCAGCAGCGAGGATGACCGGGATGAGCGGGAGTCTCGGGCGGAGATCCAGAACGCCGAGGACTACAACGAGATCTTCCAGCCCAAGAACAGCATCAGTGAGGCCTGGGCCCTCCCCTCCGAGCCCCAGCGTTCCCCTCTGTGAAAGGGAGGCAGATGGTCCTTTCTGGGGATGGCGTCCATGTTGCTGCACTCCCTTAGCTTAATTCCTAACCCATGTCTGGGCCCAGGCTCTGTTCCCTGGTCCTCTAGGCCTCAGCAGAGGCCCAGCAGCCGCTCAGTGCTCGGCCTGCCCCAAGCAAAGGAAGGCCCAGTGGGGCAAGGGGCCAGGAAGGGGCAAGCCTGAGGGTTCAGGGCCCGGGAACGGGTCAGTCTGCAGCTGTGCACGCGCCTGGGAACCACCTTGCATCTGCCGCATCCTGACGGGCCCAGGGTCCCCGGCTGGCCGGGCCCTGAGGGCTCAGACAGCAGCCCTGGGCTGACCCACATGAGTCCCCAACCCCCTCTACCTCCACAGGTCGGACGCCACCCCGAAGAAGTGAGCCCTTCCCAGCACCCCCGGAGGATGGTGAGTCGGGGGGCAGAGCCTGGCCTCCCAGGGTCCCCAGCTCCCTAGTCCTCCCCTTCCACAGCACAGTTTCCAGCCTCTCTCCCACTGGATCTTTCCCTCCACTCGCCCCAAAGCACCTGCTGTGTGCCAGGCCCTGTGCCAGGCCCTGGTGATTGAGCGTGAAAAGGCAGGTAGGTGCCCCCGTCAGGAGCCCACACCCAGTGAGGAAGGCGAACGGTAGGCAGCCACAGGGTAGGAAGGAGCCGGGAGTGGTGAGAGGCTCTGGGGCCTGTGTAGATGGGGGGCCGTGAGGCTCTGAGGAGGCGGCACATCAGGCAGGCCTGGGGGCCAGGTGAGGAGACAAGGAGGGAAGAGCCTCAGGTGGGAGGGAGCCGAGAGGACAGCAGGGGCTTGGGGTCCGGGAGCAGGAGGCCAGGCCCTGCAGGCCCTGGGTTGGGGGCTTGGGGTTTTGCTGCTGGAGGGCTTAAGAAGGGAGAAAACCTGCTCTGCTCACTTACGATTGGAGAAGGTGGCAGGGCGGGGCACCCTCATCCTCCAGCCCATCCCTCCCTCCCCTGCTTTCTCCTCAAGGGGCCATCTTCTCGTGCCCTTCGGGCTGGGTTCCTGAAGGGCCTCTCTCTCTCCCGCGCTCCCACTCACCATCCACTATCCACTCACCGCCCCCCTCCCAAAAACACTCCTTTCCTAGTGAGGTGACAGGAGCGCCACTCCCTGGAGCTCCCTGGGTCCTGTCCACACACAGTGCTTGGCGCCTGCTTTCTACCAGCCCTGTGGCTGAGTGGGTGGCAAGGGAGGGGACAGGCCCATCTCCGGCCCCCAGGCCTCCTGTTAGAGGTGCCGCCCACAGCCCCAGCCCAAGCCCTGCCTTCTGCCTGCCCGTCCCTTCTCCTGGCCTGACCTCACCCACTGATCTTTTCCTTCTGCCTCCAGACGTGGCCACAGCCAAGGAGGCAGCAAAGCCCAGCCCAGCCATGGACGTGCAGTTCCCGGTGCCAAAAGTATGTCCAGGTGGAGCGGGCAGGGTGTGGGGCTCAGAGAGGGGCTGGAGTCCTGAATCGGCGCTGGGGCGGCCCTTGCCGGGGAGGGGGGCTGAGAGGGAGGGAGGGAGAAGAGGCCTTGGGCTGGCCACCTGCTGAGCCCCAGACCCCTCCAGCTCGAGGTCCTGTCCCGGCCCCCAGTCGTCACTTCCACCCCTGCACCCAAGGCTGAGTCTGCCATCATCCCTGCCACCCGGAACGAGCCCATCGGACTGAAGGCCTCTGACTTCCTGCCTGTGAGTGGGGGGGCCCAGGCTGAGGGCGGGTGGAGGCCCGTGGGGTGAGGGTAGAACTTGGCTGCCAGCATCAGGGCACCCGTCCCATGCAGGCCGTGAAGATCCCCCAGCAGGCGGAGCTGGTCGACGAGGATGCCATGTCACAGATCCGCAAAGGCCATGACACCATGTGTGTCGTGCTCACCAGCCGCCACAAGAACCTGGACACCGTGCGGGCCGTGTGGACCACGGGTGACATCAAGGCAAGTGCCACCTCTGCCCGGGTTTGGGGTTGAGAAGAGGGCCGCCCGAGGGGCACAGGGGGAGCTAGGCGGCCCCTGTCACCACGCCGAACAGTCTTATGAACAGCCCGCAGTAAATCCCATCATCACGCCACACCCAGGCAGGGCCACTCAGTCCCCGGTCCCCTCTGACGGGTGCTCTGTTTGCACAGACGTCGGTGGACTCGGCCGTGGCCATCAATGACCTGTCCGTGGTCGTGGACCTCCTTAACATTGTCAACCAGAAAGCGTAAGTGGCTGTGGCGGGGGGGTGGGTGGGGGAAGTGGGCAGGGCCGGGCACTGAGGGCACGTGTTCCTGGCTCTCTCCCCAGCTCCCTGTGGAAGCTGGACCTATGCACCACCGTCCTGCCACAGATCGAGAAGCTTCTGCAGAGCAAGTATGAGAGGTACGGGTGGGGAAGCCGCACCTGCCTCCCAGCAGGGAGGGACCATGGGAAAGACCCCCAGGGCCGGTGCCCTTGTGAGGTGGCCGTGCAGCATTGCTGGGCCCTCCAAATTTGAGAGGACAGAGTGAAAACGAGCCCATGCTGCCTCTCTGATCCTGTTTCTGCCCCCTTTGTCTCTGTGTACCTTGCTCTCTGTCTATTTGTGACTCCATCTATCCCTCTGTCTCTGAAGCTATGTCCAGACGGGCTGCACCTCTCTGAAGCTGATCCTGCAGCGGTTTCTGCCCCTGATCACAGACATGCTGGCGGCCCCGCCCACCGTGGGTGTGGACATCAGCCGGGAGGAGAGGTGAGGAGCCAGCGGCGTGTGTGGCAGGGGTGCCAGGTCAAGCGAGAGCACAGGCCTGGGGGCCCAGCCTGCTTGTTGGCGGCCCTGCTGAAACAGCTTATAGAGGTCATTGTGCCTGAGACGGTGGCTCAGGGCACGGGGTAGGGTTGCCAGAGCCTTGGTTCCCCCATGGCCTGGCTCTGCCCTGGCCCAGCCTCAGTGGGTCCCGCACTCTGGGCCTCAGCCTTCCTCCGGGAGGAGGGCCGGAGCGATTCGTACAGGAAAGGCTCCGGGATCGGGTGGGGGTAACGGTGACCGTGCCGGCCAGCCACCTTAAGCGTGGCCCCTCTGCCCGCAGGCTGCACAAGTGCCGGGTCTGCTACAAGCAGCTCAGGAGCATCAGTGGCCTCGTCAAGAGCAAGTCGGGCTTGAGCGGCCGCCACGGCAGTGCCTTCCGCGAGCTGCACCTGCTCATGGCCAGTTTGGACTGAGGAGCCCAGAGGGTGGTGGCACCCTCAGGCCTGGCCTCGGCCCCCCACTCCTGTTCCCTGTGCGCCCACCGGCCCATGAGCCTCTGCCCGGCCCCCACTGCTGCCTGCGGTCATCCTAGAGGCGGTGGCGCTGGCCCATTGGCCACCTCCGCAGCCCTAAACTCTGACAACTTCTCTCCAGCAACAGCTGCCCAGCTTTGTCCGACTCCTGCTTCCTGGGGCAGCGAACCGAGCCCTGGGGCTGCTGCTGTAATTTATAAAGTGAATTTTATTAAATTTGTAACTATTCCCTGCTTTCCTTGCTGGGAGGTGCAGCCTCTGGCCACAAGGCTCTCCGGGGCCCCATATTGCCTGCCTGGCTCTTCAGAGATGAGACCACGCCTTCTCCAAGACCCAGAGGCGGTGCACCAGGCAGCGTGGCCAGCAGGGGGCAGCAGAGCGATGGGCCGGCGGGAAGGGGTAAGTTCAGACTTGTTCTGGGGAGAAGAGGGACCCAGCAACTCCCCCTTTCACGGCTAGGAGAAACAGGTGAGGAGTGGGCTCATCAGCTCATCCCCTCTGTCTCAGTCACACTCCCACTGTCCCGTGGATGCCTCCAGGGCCAGCAGGTGTACACTGCAGGGGGCCAGGACCCCAGCCTTGCAGGCATGGCCACCGCTAGGCTGACCCAGGGCCCACCACCCTCCCCCATCCCTCCAGGAGGCCTCCAGGGATAGGACCGGAAGGGCAGCTGCCCCATCCTCCAAACAGCTTTCACTCCCTGCAGGAGCCCCCAGTGCTGGCTGGCCGGAACAGCTCCCCTGACCCAGTGGTCGTCCCTTATGCTCCTGAGGCAGGTTCCACCCCAGTTTGGTGGGAGGGCCTCACTGAGCCCTGCCCATGTTTTCCCAGGTTGGGACCGGGTGCAGGCCAGCACAACCCCCGTGGTGGCGCTGCCCTGGTGGGTGGGGTGCTGTCCGCAGAGGCAGAGGGAGGAGGGGTGCAGCACTTACCTGTGGCCAGTTCACTTAAGGGGGCAAGGCCAGGGCAGGCGGTGGAGTGGGGCCCACTCCGGTGGGTTTTTGGCAAGCCTGTGGAGAGCTTGAGTTTCCCATCTATAAGATGGAGGTGACAGCACTGTTGTATGGGTCACAGTCATGATAAGGGTGGGGGGAGGGGGCCCCTCCTAGTCAGGAATGTTCAGAAAAACATGATCCTGACTTGGTGACCAGCCAGCAGTGGGGAGCCAATGGCACGTGCCAGTGCCCTGCTTGCCCCCTGCGACCTGACCGGGGGTTCACGAGACCAACTCTTCCAGACGATGCTTGTGTAAAAAGGTTATTTTAATAAGTAAAAATGCCTAAGCTTCCAAAAGTTCTTAAATAGGATTTCAGAGGGAGGAAAATGTCAAGAGGCCAGTGGGCAAGGCGATAGCCTGGTGCCAGGCACATGAGGGGGAGCAGCAAGATCCCCACCCACTGGCCTCCTGCCGGCCATAAATACAGCCCGGCCCGCGGCGGCGAGGGCCGTGCTCCTGTGTACACCTAGGAACACTATATACACGCCCAGTGAGACACTCTCCTCCCTGGGAGCCAGGGAAGAGTGGCGCAGGGCCGCCCACCAACCGCCCAGTTCCCACCGTTCCTGTGCCTTCTGGGGGCTCCTCAGCCCACCCACTAGGGAGGAGCCCTGCAGGGTGGGGAGGGCTGGGCCAGCCCATGCCACCTGCGCCCAGAGCCACAGCCGAGACACCCTTTCCTTCTGAGCGTGTTTCTTATCTCTGAGGGGAGACGGGCGAACGAGGAGCCTCCACTCTGGCCTCTGCCTTGTGGGCTCCAGGCGCTGCAGCAGGAACAGGCCAGGCAGGCATCAGGACCCAGTCCCTCGTCCAGCAGAGTGGGCATGTCCATCACACAGGCAACGGCCTCGACTTCCCTGCAGGAGGGGGAGGGTTCGTCAGCACCAGGACTGTCAGCCTCTGTCCCAGAGCAGGAGGGAGCTGCAGAAGCACACAGGCAGCAGGCAGCGGACCCCAGACCCCGCCCTGAGCAGCCAGCTTCCCGGCACAGCCCTGCAACCCGAGGCGGCCAGGCGGCTGGGCAGGCAGCCCTGGGCTGCGGGCCCGACACTCACCTGGAGACTTTGCAGCCCCAGCCGTCAGGCTGAAATCAAAGCAACAGGTATCTCACCGGTGGGCCCGCCTTGGGCCAGGACCCCCCGGGACCCTGCTGCCCCCCTCTCCCTTTAGACTCAAACACTCACCAGGCCCTTCTGTGAGTGGGCCAAGCTGGAGGCTGGAGCCCCGTATTCTAGTCCTGTGGCCTGGCTCACTCCTCATCTGGGACAGGTGAGCCTTGTCCTTTCTACCCCCCGGGAGCCAAGGCCTGCCTTGGACGGTGTATCGTGCATGAGCCCAACCAGCCCAGCCTCAGAGGATTGTGTCCTGGGCCTCATGTCAGCAGCCCTGCTAGGAGCCCGGAGGGCTGGACCCAGCACTGTCTGCCCTGGCTACTTCCCAGGGCCAGGGAAGGTTGTGAAACAGGTTCTGGAGAAGTTTTATAAACTTAAAAAAAAAAGGAAAGAAAAGAAAAAGCCCATTCAGATAAGGAAAGCCTGGCCCACTCCCTAAAGACTCACCCGAGGGCTGCAGCTTCCTCCTGATGGACCCTGGGCGGCTAGTGGTCCCAGAGCCAGGGGCCGAGTGGGCTCGTGCTGAGGGCTGTGGTGTCTGGCAAGCTGGCTCCCACTGTGGGCAGAGAAGGGCAGGTGGGCGGGACCTGCTGCCCTGGGTCTGCCCCCTACCCCACACGTTTCCCCTCCCCAGCCACCTGAAACGTTTCCTCATCTGCAAGATGGACATGATGATGGTACAATAACCGTTGGGGGGGGAGGGTGTGAGACATACGTAAAGAAGTGAACTAGTTACTACTGAGCGCCTGTGTGCCAGCCTGCACCTGCCCCCACCCCACCTCCGACCAGCTGAGGACCCCCACAGGTACCTCTGAGGCCGAGAAAGAACACCTGGACTAAAAAGGCTACTGGGTTTGGGTTCAAATTCTGGCTCCACCCCCTCTGGTATCTTCCCCTCCTCCACCATTCCACACTGTCCTCCCCTCCAAACCCTCCCTCCTGCCCATGACCGGGATGTCTATGACCCAGTACTGGCCTGAGGCAGGCCTGTGGTGGTCCCCGTACCTCTAGATGCTCCTGGCTGGACCAGGACATGAGCTCTGCCCTGCGGGACCCGGGGCCTAGCTCCACGGAGCGCACCCTCTCAGCAAACTTGAGGGAATAGAGCGTCTCACTGGTGTTCTTCTCCACGGGGGACACCTAGGGGACATGAGAGCTCACTCCCCACCCAGCTGGCCAGCTGCCCTCGCAGAACTGGAAGGAGCACCAAAGGGAGCCCACAACCAGGGGACTCTAGAAGGCTCCCTGGACAAGACTGAGAGGGAGGGGAGCAGGAGGGCAACCAAGGTGGCAGAAACGGAGGAACTTGCCAGGCACACGGTGCATGTGGCCAGGTCTGTGGGGAGGCTGCGGGGGATGGGAGCCACGTGTCACTGACTTCGGAGCTGCTGATGACCGGAGGCTCTTCCCTGCACAGCCTGGGAGGGTACCTGGGCCGCTGGGGAAGGTTGGGGGGGGGTCCCTGTTCTTGGAGCTGGTTAAGCCCCTACACGCTAATGGTCATGCCATCCGACCCGCCTGGGCCCCTCACCTGCACCACCATGAGGGTCTTGCTGTCCCCGCTGAGCGAGTCCTGCAGCAGGTAGGTAAGCTTGGAGTTGCGGAAGGGCACGTGGCCCTGGCGGGAACGCAGGGCAGCAATGACGTCCCCCAGGGCCGACAGCGACTTGTTGATGTGCTGTGCCTCCCGCAGGCGGCTGCCCTCAGCCCCCGACTTGCCCACGCGCTCTGAGCCGGCCAAGTCCACCAGGTTCAGCTTCCCTGCGGAGAGGGTGCTGGGCAGGTCAAGGCTGCCCCGGGAAAGGCCGGGAGGGGGACCGGGGTGGGGGTGGGGCTCAGGCCAGGTGGCTGGGGCCCTCACTCACCCGTGGTGCGGAGACCGGTGCTGCCGTCCACGCCGTGCACCGTCACAATAAGCAGGGCATGCGAGCGCGAGCTGTGCTCGTTCAGGTTGGTGAACTCCGTGGTGCGGTTGGTGTGGCCGAACTCGAACACCTGGGGCCCGGGGAGGGCAGAGTGAGGCACAGGGTTTGGAGTGGGGTCTTCAGGATCAACCGTCCCCGAGTACCCCTGTGCGGGGGCGGCACCCTTTGCCTCGTCCAGGGGAGGAAACAGGCTCAGAGAGGCCTGGGGACCTGGCAGAACCTGCATCCGACCCCCATTCTGTCCTCCGGGGCAGCTCTGCTGTGGGCAGGGTCTCCCCAGCCTTTCCCCACCCCCGGCCCCCGCAGCCCCACACCTTGTTGATGTCCTCCACGCTCTGCACCTGGAACTCCGTCAGCCCTGGCACGTACAGCTGCCCGCTGCCGTCAGGACACAGACGGATCTCCAGTTTCTCCTGGGGCTCCTGCCCCAGCAGGTCCCTGAGAGCAGGAAGGACGGTCACTCCCTCCTCGCAGTCTGCCCTCTGCTTGCACTGCACCCACCCCCAGCCTGGAATGTTCCCCCAGCCATCACACTTCTGGAAGCCTTCCTGGACCATGGGGCTCTGCGCTCAGTCTGCTGAAGGGCAGAGATGGAACGTTCCCCCAAAGTCCTGGCGTGCTGCTACTCCTGCCCCCACGATGCACTGAGCCCCTGTTGGGCAGGTCCTCCCAAGACCCCACTCTCACTCTTCACCACCTGGTGCAGCCTACAGGTAGGGTGAGGACACTTCAAGGGGAAAAGGAGTGCCTTTGTCTGGGTATCCCAGGTGGGCTCAGACAGCCCTCCTCCTCTTGCCTGCTAGCGCGGGAGAGGGGCCTGGGACCAGTGAATCCCCTGGGCTGAGCAGGACGTACATTCAGCTCCCACCTAAGGGCTCCCACCTGAGGGGCTCCCACTCGAGGGCCTTCCGCCTGAGGGCTCCTCACCTGAGGACCTCATTGTAGATCTCGGCCGCGCTGACGGTGATGGTGTACTCCCAGTCAGACGCCTTCTCCTGCACCTCGGAGAAGAGCAGCTGCAGAGCCCGCTGGTTGATGCCTGGGTTCTCGAGGGTCCCCTGCAGCCAAAATCAAGGCCCCGGTGAGCCAGGCCTCCCCCCACCACGTGGGCTGGCCCGTGCAGATGCTCACATGGTATCTGGGGTCCCCACCTGCTCTGGCTACCCCTCACAGGCCAGCCTCCCTGACTGAAGC